AAAGATTGGTTAAAATTTGAATGATTTTTATTAGAAGTAATTATTAATTTTTATATTGAGGTACAAATCTTTTTGCATCAACCCATACTTAATTAATGATAATTTAAAATTATTATTTAATTATTTATTATTAAAATTAAATTAATTAATTTCAAAATATAAATTTTTAAATTCAGAAGTTTTTATTTTAATTTGAATTATATTTTATAATATTATTTTAAATTATAATAAAAATAATTATTGTAAATTATAATTAATTATAATATTTTTAATTTAAATTTAACTTTTTATTAAATTATCTTAAATATTTTTAAGTAAAGCTTTATTTTTTATTATTTTCTAATGTATATTAGTTTAATATTAAATCAATTAGCTATATTTATTATATACTTCTTATGATTAATTTTCAAAAATTAATTTTTGTTTTGAATTTTTTATTACATATTTTTCTTGAGATTTGATTGGTTTATCCCTTAAAAATCACATGATCTGCCCTTTTTTGGGTAACTTTTGTTATATTCTAAACTAGTATTTTAATAAATAATTATCCAATAATATTGTGATATAAAGCGTCCAACCAAAGAACGAAAGAAAGAGACAAAATTACCTTGTTGCCCTATAAAGATGCCTTAAATAGATTATTTGTCGAGTGTTAATTCATACTCCAGATATTCTGTGGATAAACCTAAACAATAAAAGATGATTATAAAGATTATTATCCGTTCTATCAAATTTAGGCTTTGAGCCGAGAAATCACAATGATTAGCTAAAGATTATTCCGTGAATGGTATGGTTTCATCTAGCGAAAAATATAAGCTCGATTAACGATATATATAGAGAAAGAATTTAATGGTTTGTTTTTAGCTTGCGAATGCGGAGAATAAGATAATTAAGATTTTATAAAAAAATACTAAATTTTGCTGGCGTTATAATTCCACATAGGAGTATGCTAATTCTGATTCATTGTCACGGTAGATGCAATATTTATCCTTTCATTTTCGTTTCCTCGGAAAAAAGAATTTTTAATAGTGAAACACAAATTTCAATTATGTATGCATGGTTTGATGAATCTGATTTGTTTATAAAAGAACTTTTCATTCCGTAAGTACATGCCATAGCACAAATTTGATTTAGGAAACCATGACTCAAATTTCTGCCGGAACAATCAAATTCCGCAACTTTGCATGGAACCAATGTGGTTACCCAAATTTACCGTTAATATTCTTGTTAGCCAATGGGCACAAAGTCATTTTCAATTTTATGTAATCAGGCATCAAACTGTCTCATAACGATAGATCGAATTTCGGATCTAGTTGCATGCACTCATTGATGGGCTGAATGGATTTGCTTCCACAACCAACACAACCGATTTAACTCCAGCCGAAATTACCGAAATTGGGAAATCCACTCATTAATGGGCTGACGAATATCGGTGGTATCACCGATCGTCAGGGGGGTCGAACTCTCCGGCACCTAAATTCTTTAAATGTACCATACAATCAAATCATAAATGAATAGCCTAAACAGTCAAACATTAAACGCCAGCTTGATGCAATTACTCGTTTCAAATTTATTTATTTTATTTTATATAGATATATATATATATTTATGTATATGTATATATATAGTAATATCACTTTTGAAAATAAAAAAGAAAAAAGGGAAAAAAAGGATCTTTTTTTTTATGTTTAAAATGATGATTATGATTGGTGATGAAGATGATGATGAAATGATGATGATAAGATGATGTTGTTTGTGGTAGCAGTATTTACAGGAAAGTGAATTTGTACTTTTAAGTAATGGATATAAAACTATGTAGTGTGGTGTATGTATATTATCATTTATGTATGTAATTTATGTATGAAAGTATGTATGTATGAATGTATGAATTTATGTGATATTTTAGAAGTTCGGCGCGGTCGAAAATTTTAAGCTATCGAACGAGCGAATGTCATTTTTTGGGGGGGGGGAAATATTTAACTAATAAGTGTCTTTTTGTCATTCGTAATTTTTGTAAATTCGCAAAAGAATAAAAAAGAAAATTTAAAAAAGTTTTTTTATCAGTGTTTTATAGCGAGTAATAAGTTAATTATTCTAAGTGTAAAAAAATAAGTGTATGCGTTGGTCAAAAATATTGTTTTGTATGAAGGTAATTGTCAAGGTGAGAAATGCTGAAACGTTGAACCGATTATGTCATTACAGACAACCGTTGAACCGGTTGATAATACTTGCGACGATGAAATTGGAGCTTTGATGCCCAAAAAGCATTGTTGTTGTTATTGTTTGCAATTACGTTGGTCGTAGTGGTGGTGTCGACCTTTTTTTCGTTAAAGTTAGCGGACGACCAAGAAGACTTTTTTTTGAGTGATTGTTTATTACTGTTATTAAGCGTCTCTAGGGATTTAGAGTTTATTGTGCTCAAGAGATTAGCAGCACTAGTTGACGTTGGGAGAGAGAATAATGGAGTTGTGTGTAGCGTGTACGATGGTGCGGTAGTCGTTGAAGATGACAACGATGTTTCCGGTGCCGTTCTGAGATCTTGAAGACGACAGTTCTCCGAGCAGTAGAGAGTTCCCTATTAGAATATCAGAATAATAGAATATTAGCATAAATTAATTGTTGGCGCTTTTTAAAAAAAACAAAAAGTAAAAATTAAAATATTTACCGAAGTGTGTTGCGAGCAAATGAGACACCAGTCCAAGTCCATTGTTTGATTATTGTTGATTAAGGGAAAAAAATGTTCGTATTTTTTTTATTTATTCGAGCTTTATATAGCTATTCGTTAAAATATAACTAAACCAATTAGAGGAATCACAGTATGATTTTAAATAACGTAAACTAAAAGAAAATCTTTATTAGTTGAAGAAAGAAAAATAAGCTGAATGGTAGGTGTATTTATACTTTTCATGTTGTAGCAGAAAATATTAGTGGTTCTCTATCGTGTATAGAAAGCGAGTAAATCCCAGAAACCTTAATCTAGTTGTAAATTAATATAAAATAAACATAAATAAATATAATAAATATATTTGAATGAAAAAAAAGGAGAATCCAAGACAATTTGATAAGGGGAGATCATGGTCGTAATGATATAACCGGAATAAAGGCGCAACCTTTGGTCTGTGGCCAATGCGTGGTTTTTCATTGATTAAGCGTGGTGGTGATTATTAGAACAAGGTTGGGTTTTTGTTGTTGCTGCGGACGCATCTTTTCTACGCATTATTAGAAATAACCAATTATTAATATTGCGATTATTCGATTGGTTTACAAATCTCGAGCACATATATGCATAGATAGATAACATACATTCATTCAATTTTTATTCACCCATTCATTGTCAATCAATATTCATATTGACTCATCATCGATTTTTCATGCTTATTAGTCATCGCTCATCTTTTCCCATGTGTATGCACAGGGAGAAGAATTCTTGATGCGAAAAGAGAACAATAACGATAACGTAAGAAAATAATAATATGATGTTCCAATCACCCGAAGTATGGCACCATTTTTTGGAAAAAGTTTTAAACTACCGCAACTATCATCTCATGTGGCGTTGTTGAAAGTGACGGCATGTGTATCATCTCATTAGATCTTCGCCAATAATGTAACAAACACACAAATAAATAAATAATTAAAATAAATATATTGGCAATTCGACGTGATTTCGATTTTTTTATGTTGATGGACATCAATCCCCCCCCCCCCCCCCCCCCCCCCCCCCCCCCCCCCCCCCCCCCCCCCCCCCCCCCCCCCCCCCCCCCCCCCACCCC